CAGAAAAGTTGTACCATCGAAGGAAATATTTCCAGCAAAAAGAGGAGGATTGGCATCAGATGTTAGCTCAGGGCTGATCTTCCTCACAAAAAAAAAAAAAAAAAAAAAAACAAATCCATTTTAAATAATTATGTTGATTAAAGGTTTCAGTCGTGGAATAGACAGTCTAGGGTTTTTTTTTTTTGAGAAAACTCATATCTTAAAAGAAAGAAAAAGGATCATTTTCACGATATAGAGTCTTTCAAAATATATCAGGAGTATGCTCAATTTGCCTTGAGTTGCTACCGGAGAAGAGTTAAAATGCGGCTTACCCTTCCTGCCGATGGGCCCAGTCTTGCCAATGTTGCCCAGGTCTCCTATATCACCCAGGTCTCCCTTAATTCCTGAAAAACAAAGCATGTCATTTTTATATCCTAAAGTTTTATTTTCCCTTTAAAGATGTGGCTAATATATGATAGTCACTTGAAGGAAATACCAAAATTGCATTCTTCTCTCTGTGGTATATAATATATATCCTGTGCTATATTATCTGTTTTAATAGCATTCTAATGTACATATTAAAATTAAAATGTGGCTGAGTATGACAATCTTGGACCTAATGATACTAAAATGCTTACTGATGTAATAATTCTAAAAGGTCTATAGCAGAGGATGTTTAATCTAAAGGTCAGATAAGGGGCTGAGTGGAAGAATTCTTGCATTCTATTCTAATTCTGTTCCTCTCGAGATCCATTTTTGGCTTCACTTTGGGATTCTATTTCCTCTCTATTTTAAAATGAGATTTGACTATTTCTGCCACTTTAAAAAAATGGAGGGAAGGCACAATCATAAAAACTAGCGATCAAAGAGATATCAGAGACTGTCCTACCAAGTTTTTATGCAAAAAAATATGATCAAAGCACTGAGTTCCTCCAACACTGTTATTAATTTTGTTTTTTTATGATGATCTAAAAAATATTCATCAATTATAAAACTATATTTTGTGATAATACTTTTGCAATAGTTTGTACATATTTATAGACTATTGTACATATTTATAGAATAAGAAGAGATTAAATCAGCATTCCTCAAATTGAGGTCTCAAAGGCTTGTGAGTCTTTTCTTCTCTTTAAATTACTGAAGATTTTAAAGTCAGTGTTCGAGGGCCACTACCTTGTAGCAGTTGGCAGGGACTATTTCTAGTGCTTGGAAGACCCATGCTTACACATCACAGTCCAGAGGCTATCCTTTGGTGAGACTTACTCTTGGCTTTGTGAGTAAAAACATTCCAGCCTTTGTGTTATCCTCATTTTCTATGCTCCTACTCCTCTCTACCATTCACCAGAGATCTTAGAGAAGGCGAGTAAATCAATGGACCAGACAACTCTTTTTGTTCCTTCTCAACTTCCTCCTTAAGCTCTAGGCCAGCCAAAAACAGTTGCTTAGCAGTGGCTTCCGAGGAGAGACACAGCTATGAACACAGCTGTGTTTCTAAAATTTATTTCTTAGATATTCCAGGAGACTGCTATTCCCTGGGGCCTCCAGAGTGTTCCACTCTGGCCAGCCCTAAGGATGCAGCTTAAGAAATGTGTCCAAGTCTTGTTGACAGGCGATCTAATAAGAACTCTCTGGTGGTGAGTAAATTCATATCTGAAATATATTTCCTGCATCTTTGGAGCAGAGTGTGTTATGAAAGCTGCTAATTTCCAGGGCAAGGCCAGGAGAGAGAGAAGAGCAATTCTAACATTATAGTGTCAAATTCAAATCATTTTACCTACCTTTTGGCCCCATGCGTCCCACTTTGCCATGCTTTCCCTCTTCTCCTGGATCTCCTTTTTCACCATCATCTCCTTTTGAAATGGAAAATGAGTGAGTGAGGCAGCTCAAATAGTAACATAAGCACCTACTCCCCAGGATACGGTGAACATGGTTGGACTCCATCCCGCAGCTCAGTGCTTGCCTTGCAACTCTGATGTGAGAATGCATATAGGCCCTCATGGACTGGACATTCAGGGAAAGAGAAGAAACTTCCAGAATCTTTTCTCTTTCACTTTTCTCCACAACTACTTCTATATTTAAAGAAATATCCTTGCTGGTGAATCCCTGAAAATTTTGTTTGGCCTGACAAACCTATAGTTTTGCTGGAGAGTCTGGCAAAATCTACAAGCATTTACAAGTATATATCAATATACATGTATACAGATGTACTATGTATAAAAATATATATAGGGGCTGGCCCCATGGCATAGTGGTTAAGTTCAGCACGTTCCACTTTGGTGGCTCAGGTTTGCAGGTTCAGATCTCAAGTGTGGACCTACACCACTCATCAGCCGTGCTGTGGCGGGGACCCACATACAAAATAGAGAAAGACTGGCACAGAGGTTAGTTCAGGGTGAATTTTCCTCAAGCAAAAAAAATAAAATAAATAAATACTTTCTAAAATATATATATACACAATATGAATATATATTTATATATGTTATATAAATATATACAATTCTATAAATATATAATAATATAAAAATATTATGTATAATATATGTAAATTTATTACTCACTGCATGCTTGGGGACCCCAAAATTATAGGCGTGGACCGGGAAGCTATGAACAGAAGACTAGATAGGAATGGGGAACTTTGCAGTTCTGTGGAGAAGCGACTTTCTTAGTCATAGGTGAGTCTAGCTCTAGCACCTCACCCAATCAAGAAGGACTGAGTGAGTGATTTAATGAAAAGTGCCCTGTACTGTGAATCAGGAGTCCTGGATTTTAATGTCATGGTAGTCACTGATAAGTTGAGCAAATCTTTAACAGTTAGTGATTGAACTTATTGGCTTTGGAATACAACAGATCTGGACTTGAGATTCAGCTCTACCACTTACTATCTGGAGAAAGTTGAATATGAGTCTCATTTTTCTCTCCTTCAAAATGAACTAATAACACCCACTAGAGAGTGCTCTGAAGAACCTGGAATAAGATAATATGCATAAAAGACAAAATCAGTGCTTAACAATAGTGGCTATTGTTATTCTTTCCTTTATACTTAAGTTTCCTCATCCTTTACCTGGAAATAACACATGGCCTCCCTACCTCTCTCAAGTGTTTTAGGATCAACAAGGTGAGCGTGTGACTGTGCTTTGAAAATAAAGAGCTCAACACACACGATGTTATGACCAGCACCTGCGTTATCACCACAGCAATCTGAGGACATGAAGGAGTCCCATCCACCACTACTGGAAAGAAGTAGGTAAAAGGCTTCTAAAGAAAAAAGTGAAATTCCTGGGATTTGACAGTTTGGGAGAGAGAAAGTTGAGATGTTCATTTATTTATCCAGAAAAAGCACGACCAGCCATTTTCTATTTTTTTTTTTTTTCTGAGAGCAGAGTGTTATTATTTTAAATGAAAGCATAAGCAATGTATGGAAGACTTGGGTTTCCAGGTTGTGAGGTTGGTCAAGCGTTGGAACGCTTCGCATGGAAGCTGTAGAATGTCTTTCTGGAAAAGGATTTCAAAAAAGAATGCACAGATGGTTTGTGTAATCAGACCAGAGGGGTGATGTGGGTGGTCTAGATGGCATTTCTCCAGCTAAAGTTGCTAGTGAATGTTTATTGAGCAATTGCAATGTGTGCCACATACTGTGCTAATGTAATTATCATAGCAATTCTAGGAGGTGAACATTATTATTATTCCATTATACGAACAGAAAAACTGAGATTTGAGAATAAGGTGCTTGTCTATTGTCATAGAACTTGTGAGTGGTAGAAGTAAGATTCAACAACGTGTGGTCTTTGCCCTTCCAGATCCCTACCTGTAAACAATTGTCCCTTCCAGTCTAGGCTTCTGTGATTCTTAGCAGATTGTGGAGTACAGAGAACTTCACACTGTGCCAATTTTTTCAGGTAAGAGGCAGAAAGAATGACAGTTCAGAGGAGATGCAGAAAGAATGACAGTTTTGTTCTTTTGTTAAACAAAAAATATAATGGGAAAGAAAAAAATCCCAGCTTATTATCTCAATGACTTACATTGTAACTACAATGTAATTACTCAATACATTCTCACAGAGAATGTCTCCTTGAGGTGGTTTAGTATAATTGAGACCTGCCTTTGCCACTCGCTAGCTGGGAGAACTTGGGAAGTCCTTCAACTCTTTTGAGCCTTGTTTTACTATTTGTAGAATGGACAAAATAATATCTTTTTCAGAGAGTTCTAGTAAAGGAAAAATTAGAGAAGTATTTTCCTTCAGGAAGCCCTCTCTAACACTCTCGGGCTGGGCTAAATTCTCCCTCTAATTACATTCATTGTTTAAATTATTACTTTATACTGAGCGAGTCAGTCTGTGCTATGCCTTACACTCGTCTGTGACTGGTGGGGTGGCTGGAGTCATGAGTGATTTATTCTACTATCTCCAGAGTTTAACACACTGCCTGGCTCTGGTGCTTAATAAATGTAGTTGAACTGGATATGCTTTGTAAGCCATAACACATTTTACAAATGTAATGATAGTGTTCATCGAATACTATGTGCCAAAATGTTCTTAGTACTTGACATGCATTCTATCGTTAGATCCCCACAACAACTTTTGAGGTGGATACTATTCTTAGCTCCATTTTACAGATGAGGAAATAGGGCCAAAAAGAGGTTAAGTAACCTCCCAGGGTTGCACAGTTCATAAGTGGTAAAGCCAGGATTTGAACCAGGGGATTTGCCCTCAAAGCTCATGTTCTGAACAAACTGTATGATTTGGAACAAATTTCTCACTTCACACTTCTGGATCTTGGATTGCTAGTCTGTACAGTGAGACTAAAGATGCATGTCCTGCTCACCAAAAGGCAAGATCAAAGGCAAGCATGTATGCGAATTACTTTGTGACTCATAAAACCACACGAATGTGAATTATTGGTGCCATAATTATTTCTCCTCTTTCTCCCCCTTCCCGTGAGCTTTCTCATTCATTTTCAAGTAAGTATCTAACTGGAGGCAGCTAGATGAGTGACTTAGCCATCTGCTGCTCCCTGGTGGCTCCTGATGGAGACCTGGGAGAGTGAAAATAGGATTATTATTCTTCTGACCTGTGTGCCCTGTGTCCCAGCCTGGTGGTGAGCGGGCTGTTGGCAGAGATGAAGTAAACAACTTGTGCCCTTGTCTTCAGCTTGGGTCCTGGTTCATTTGGTCTTTGGGGCTTGCTTTAATGAGAACAGAAGAGAAGTCTAAAAGCAAGCTTTGGAAAGGATTCCCCACATGGCTCACAGTTGTCTGCTTTTATCCTCTTGGCAATATTTCATTAGATTAGTAGAGTAATTTAGACTTCCTTTCCTTCTTTTAAAAATAGCCACTTACATTTTAAAATTAAATGAAAAGCTATCAACTTAAATGAACTAATTTTAATTTTACAAAAATGATTTGTTTTCACCCCCTAGGCCACCAGCTTTCTGTGATAGTCTCTCCAGCAGAATTCCAACAGAGTACACAGTTGACCAATTATTCTGAGGTAGGACTTTTTTTCCCCAACAAGCAAAAAGTCTTTTCAAATTAAATTCTAGTTTGAAATGAAATAGCTGAACCCAGGTCAGTGCCCCCTACTTGAAGGAAGTAATTATTAAAAATTAGTGAATTGGTTTTTGGAAATGCTAAAGAAAATTCACTGGAAGCTGTACTTTTCCCACTGCCAAAATACACTTATGGACTGGGGTGGGGGGGGTTGTTAGCAATCCTTCTCCTGATCAGCCATAGAAGTGAGTGGGATAGATGGTATGGTGTGCTTTACTAACAAGGCCAGGACCCTTGCCTAAAATATGTCTTCCCACCCCTACTTACTCCTTTTTCCCATATATACCAATTGCACTCTCATTCTTGGAAATTTCTATAGTCATATCGATTACCCCCAGACCTTGCATACAAATCAGATACACTATTATGGTTATCCAGTGGACCACCTCCCAGTACTTTCCCTTCACCAATCACAACCTTATCATTTCACTGAAATATTTGGTCCTCCCCTCCTTGTGACCTACTGTTGTCTTCCTTCTCCCCATTCACCTAGTTTATCAGTCCCTCTGTGCCTTCACCTACCTCCCCATACATTCTGAATTCTTTCAACACAGTCACTTCTGCACAGCTCTCCCTAAGGCAAAAGGAGTGCAGGGCATTGGTGAGGCGAGATCTGGAGCAAGTCATTTAATGTCTCTGAGTCTCAGTTTCATCCATAAAATGGTGAAAACAATCCTTACTTCATAGGATTGTTGTGGACTAAAGGAGACAATGCATGAAAAGTGTTCAGCACAATGCTTGCCCTTGGTAAACTCCTCTATTCTTGTTTTAATGAGAGGAGAAGGGAGGTATAAAAATGCTTATCATTGTTATCATCCTCATCACCAGAAATGACATCCCTTTTGAACTTTCCTTTGTATTCACTACCTCAATCTCTGTCCTATAATCATTACTTACTTTTTTACTTGACTATGTGTTTTTTCACTCTTTACTATGATAATTTCCACACAAAGACAGAAATAAATATACAGCCATTACTGAGATTTAGTGATTAACATGTTGTCATTGCTTCTTCTATGCATTTTTAATGATTTTTTTAAAAAAGTAAATTATAGACATTATGACATATCTTCCTTAAGTACTTCAGCAAGTGTCTCTGAAAGGTAAGAAGATTCTCCTATGTAAACATAACATTGTTACATCAATCTTACTTTTTAATGGGCTGCAGGGATTTGCTAAAGTCACCTTCAGAGTATTCTGTGATCTCGTTTATCTCAAGCCCATACTGCTGTGCTGCATATAATCTAATAAAAAAGAGGTGAGCACTCAGAAAGAGAAGCATTCAGAGGAGTAAACTTAGGTTCTT